GATCCAATAATGGCTGAATCTACTTCCGCAACCACGAACTGCCATGTGAAGTCCCTTCGCAGTCCGAAATCCAATTTAAGGGTGATTAGACCGAAGGTCTTGATTGTGCTGCCATTTGCGGCGCTGAGCTCCCAGTCACAGGAAACCCTCTGATTAGGTAGCCAACGGTGTGGGTAACAACACAGATCCGAGCCTGTGTCGACGAGAAACTGGCGCTTGGAAGTAGTATCAGTCACAAAAAGGCGGCGGCCGGTGGAGTTGATTGAGCAGCAGTCCGTGTCCACCTTTACTGACTGCTGCTGTTCAGGTTTCCCTGAGCCGGTTTAAAATTACATGGCTGAATACACTTTATCGCTTCGGTACCAAACTTGCTGTGGTACCAGCATAGTCTGGATGTGCTTTCGGCTGGTGTGGAACTGCGGGCCCTCCAGTTCGGAGAAAAACTGCGGCCCCTGAACCGACCTCGCTGCCGGTTACTAGAAGTGAGGGCTGCAACTTGCTTCGAAAGCCGGTCAACACACTCAGCAAGCGAGGTGAGAGTAAGGGTAGAGCAGGGTTCATTCACGCTGGCCACATGATGGGGAGAAGTAGGCAGCTCCATGATTCTATCCGCGAGCTCCGCGACTTTGTCTAAGTTGAGGTCAGCTTGAGCGGCGAGGATCGCTTGTACGTGGTTAGGCAGACGACGCAACCAGAGCTGGCGAAGTATGTTGACATCCTTGGTTAAGGTGCCAGCAAGGGACCTAAGGTGTCTGAGGAATGCGGATGGCTTGCGGTCTCCAAGCTCCTCATCACTAAGGAGACGGTGTAATCGCTGCTCCTCAGACGCTGTAAGTCTGCGAATGAGTTCCTCTTTGAGTCTGTTGTAGGCTCCTGTAGCAGGTGGATTGAGTACGATATCTTCAACTTCCCCAATGACGCGTTGATCAATAACAGACAACACGTGGTTAAATTTGGTTTGCTCTGTGGTAATCCCAGCCAGGTGGAATTGGGCTTCAGCTTGCACAAACCAAACAGCTGGTCGGTCTGCCCAGAATGGAGGTAGCTTCACTGATACCTTGGACACACAAAGTGGTTTCGCTTCGTGTTGGGCAGCAACGTCGGCCATCAAGGCTGCGTTTTGCTGCTCAAGTTGGTTTAACCGAGCTCGGAGAATTTGGATGTCTTCGTCCATTATTACCCACTGCTGATATATATATTATTTATATAAAAAGGAAGAGAAAGAAACAATAAAAGAAAATCCTTCTCCGTGGTAAGTGGTTATGCACAAAAAAAAATGCAATACTTGTTAAATGTGCAAGTAGAGATTGGTTAAATTATATAGAAATAGTCATACCCCAAGTTTAAATAGCAGTTTGATAAGTTTTTTTTTTATACCTTATAATTATTTACAACTGAAAAATTACAAAAGATAGTAAACAACATAAAATTAAAATTATGCACACCGCAAAAAAACTACAAGGCTACACCATTGGTCAATGCGTTAACAAAGATAAAATGATATTTAAAAGAAAGTACTTACTTATTAAAAATATATTGGTAAGTCGTGGAAAAAAATCAATCAATGGCCTTAGTTGCAATATTAGCTTAAAATGGAAAATACACAGCAACAAATAGTAAATAATAAATTGTTTAAAATAAAAATTGCTAGCTTGTATATTGGTTATACAAAAATATATTGAAATGAAATGTGACAGACAAAAAAAAATCGCTTACTTGATGATATCTAACTTAATTAGCTTAGGCAAGAATATTATAATCTTATGAAATAACAATTTACGTCTTGTTAAATTTTTATATTTAATCTTGTAAAACATAAATCTAATTATTGAATAAGTTATGTAAGTTTGAAAACTAACTCAGTACCATGAAAAGTGAAAAGTAAACATTAGTTGGATTAACATACATTAATAGATTAAGTTGCAGTAGAATGTTAAATAATCTTGATGCATAAAATAAGAAATAAAAGTCTATAGGTACCTGTTTTGCCAGTGATTTGCAAACCTTGTTGGTCGCTCTATTCCTTGAATCACTAATGACACTGTCACTTAGGTCTATTTTATCTCATATGTCGTTAGTTCAATGACGTCACTGCACGGAATTTGCGGTGAGTGGAACCGAATAAGTCACAGTACTTCACAGCAGTAATGCAAAGAAGAAAAAATAGCGGGCGTTAGTTGAAAGCTTGGATTAATGATAATTTCGAAATGGAAGCTTAGCAAAGTTGATGCACGAGCACAATCTGTAGCCAAAACAGGAATTGCACTGATTGAAGCGTGCGCAATTTATCGTCGCGAAATCGCTTTACGAAGAAGCGCATACGCACACACACACATACACAAATCGATAGTAGATTCGGTCGGGCGACGCGATGTCGGGTGACACGTTCACCGGGTCGTTCGGAGTCGCTCGACTCGCAGGAGACGTTATGAGGTCTCGTTGCGTTGTTTGCAATTGCGGACGCTGTTCATAGGTAGGCAGTACCTACGAGCGAGCGTGGCGTAATTGTCTATCGTCGTTCGTCGTGGTGCGCATCGAAGCTAAAATGGCGGCGTGTTGCGATGATGAAAAACGCGTTCGGTCTTCTATCGGGGTCACCAATATGGGAATGACTGCCGGCGGAGGCGGCCTTCCCTTTTCTTGAGGAACGCAGGCGCGAAGAAACGAAACACAGAACTTCGTAGAATATATTTAATGTATGCACGTTCACAATATAAGATTGAGTTACGTATTCTAGGTACACAGTATAGTTACAACATGATACGTCTGTAACGAAGAGTCGCGCCTGAGCAGGAGAGATCGCTGTGACGTTCTATTGCCAACCACCCGATCATTGCGGCGTGGTTGCCAACATAACGAAAATATCGTGACGTTCGGAAACGCCACAAGGTTATAATTATTATACTTAATCATAAAAGATGTACACTTTATATATTCTGAATAGATTTAGTGTTTACCTCTATGTAAGCACTTAAATAATATGCATTAAATGAACATAAAATGCAATTAATAATAAAAATAATAAATGCTTATATTCATATTGATTTATGAGTGTTGTCAGTTGGCACCTATGATACCTATACCTACCTGTAGTAAGTAATGATAGATTGCTTTTCAAATGAAATGTTCAGTCTTTCCATTTGCCTGTTCCTATAGTGTACTATCGGTAATTCGGTATGTACCTGGTTATCATTATGATTTTCATAAAAATAAACAGATATTACATGGGATGGGAGTATAAACTATCTTTAGATAATTTCAGAAATAATCTTTTCATAAATATAATATAAATACTAGTAATAAGTATTATTAACTAAGGTACCTTGTTCTATTTTTATGTTGATAAATACCTATGGACGCCTATATTGCATTACTAAGGTAAACAATCTTAGCACAACTTTTTAACAGAATCACCCATTTAATAATAAAATATTAACGAAGCCAATAAACTATTGAAATAAATCGTTATTATAGACTGAAACCTATTGAATCCAGTTATCAGTTGATTTTTAATGCTGTATTTTCAATAAAAAGGAGTGTCAAGTTGGATGAACAGACTGTAGTATCTAGTAACAGAACTTTTATTTTTTAAACAGATTGTCCGTTTACTATGATTAATTGCTAATAAGTTAAAAAAATAATAGAATATTAATAGTGAAGGACATTCTTTTGGGCATGCTAGGGCCGATTTCGTCGATGTCCTTTAATAAAAGGGGCCGTATTATCATTTTAAATATTATTGGTTAATTGTTGTACAAGACGCAAAAAATTACTACACACCCAATATGATGTTAAGTTTAAGTGGATTCCTGTCATAAAGATAACTGATGCGACAGAAAAATGTGCCGCTTCAATCACCCTTGACTTTCCAGCAAACTGAAGCTGGAGCTGGAATGTTATTTACCAAAAGATACAGAATAACCACCAAGTATTATTTAGTTGTGTTCTTTAAGGTAGAGGTTACTAGGTTACCCCAGACAGACGTCCCAATTTTAGCGGAAAGCCCACTTTGCTCTTCCTCTCTTTATCATCATCATCATTTCACCCAATAGACATTCGCTGTTAAACAAACGACGTCACTGAGGATTCGTTTTCTAGAACAAACGCAATGCCTTTCTTATTTTGACATATTACAATATGATTTCCAAGTTCATAATTAGGTACAAGATGTAGTTAGGCTTATGCAGTTGTGTACCTATTCCAGATAATACATTATTGTTATATGATTAGTTACTGCACGAAATCATTGTTAAAATAAAATATATCCCATCCACAAAAAGTTGGACGATTTTTTACAAGTTTGTCGGCTCACCAATTTGCATGACCAAGTGACAAAACCGTGTATTTTGTCCCTTCGCTATGGCTAAATGTTTTATTCACGAAGTGGGAATAGGAAAATAAGCGGCCATCAAAATACGCCTATCACATAAAATAGACAGAATATAGAGCAGCTTATGAGCTATACTGTTTTGAACATGTCCATAAGGATTTTAGATATGATTTTTGGAGGTTAAGCCTAGATTTGTTGAACCTAATTACATTTTTCTCTTATTTATAGTAACTTTCTGCTGCTACTATTTCTATCTATAAAGGACATTTTTAACTAGAAAAAAATTAGTGTGCACGTACCACACATCTGAAGTGAAACTTCTTTTCTTAAATAACATAACATTAAGCATTGCATAAAGCGTAGGGGAATGGAGCAGCGCACGCATCACTCATATATTATCGCGTGTGAATGACGCCGTGACGCTAGTAGCGTTTCAGCATTTTCTGCTAGTCGGGTAGAGCTGCGCACGCATCCCACACATACACAAACACACATACATATATTTCATTTACACTTCGTCCGAAAATAACTTTAAGTTAAAAAAAAAAACGTAGTGACTTGATTCGATTAAGCATAATTGATTTATATGAAAAATCATGTTAATAGACTGAGTAACTTGTTTTTATCTTTTTAGAGTTAACAATTAATTTGAGTACTCTAGTGTACTTACCAGAGTCAAGCAACTGCATAGTATCTAATGCTAACATCAGACCGATGTGATCATGATAATATCCCACCGACACGTAAACTGAAACAACACAAATACGCGTAGTTAGTCAGTCCGTGCTTTTCTTACTCCAAGCTTTTGAATCACGAGATTAAGACAAAGTTTAATATAGAATATAGCGCACATAGTTTTACGGATTTATTTGCATTTGAAGTGAGCAAATCACGAAGAGTAATCTGTTCCCGGGAAGCATAACAATGTTGATTAATTTTATATATCATAGTAGGGCTTCTCATGTTCTGTGAGTAGTTTTATGTATGTCGTGTCGCGATTTATCAATCGTACTGAAAAGAGATAGGATTTTTGCAAAAACGCGAGGCGCCTCAGTAAGATTGCGAAAAGAATCGTTGGCTTATTATAAATATTATTGTGTTTTTGGGTTCATACTAGGTTAGGTTCAAATTTTATTAACAGTAAGATTGAGCAATGTTTTCGCCATTGTCTAATTATCCGCGGTTACGCAAGATTCCTAGGATTATCGCAAAAAATCGACTTATCAAACCATCCTACGACGAGTAAATAATCAAAACCTACGACATATATATTAACTATCTATACTAAGAAAACCTGGAGAAACTAGATGTTTCTCCTGGTAAAACAGCATATAAAGACTATTGGTAAAATTTGAAATTTTATGTTTAAGGTGTAATTCGCAATGTTAGTTCGAGGTGCAAAGGTAACTTATCAACATCAAGCCATTGTGCAGTGTGCTGTCTTTGCTCTGTTTATTAGTAAACTCCTATTAGATTATAATGGTGGAATGAACATTATGCAATGCGTTGAGATTTGTGTGTTCATGTTTATTTCTAACATGGGCACAGCATAGCGCAGCACACCGCAGCAAAGTGCAGCACATCGCAGTTCAGCGTAGTTGCTCAATCACCCTAACTATTGGTAGTGCTATTATATAATAACTATATTTGTCCATACCCTAGTTTATTTCTCCATTAAATGATTGAAGGTATCATCTAACACATAGGTATAAAATTCCCGTGGCACAGTGTTTATAACAAAACTCCTCCGAAACGGCTTGACTGATACTTAGGAAATTTTGTGTGTATATTCAGTAGGTCTAAGAATTGGATGTTAATTACTTTTCATACTCCTTATTGATAAGAGTGGTCCACTCCAAAAGTTTAGTTCATTTTGGATTTTTAAAATACTACCCTTAATTTTCACCCTTGTACCACCAACACACCAATTTTTATGGCGGTACGAAGTTCTCAAGGTCAGCTCAAGTAATGTATCTAAGTATATCAATAGAATAATATTTGTAGAATCCTAGTGATCGTTTAATGACTTACTTCTCGTGTCCTTATAAGTATCCCTTACGATGTCTAAGAAAGGATTTCTAGTGAAATTCTCTTGTCTGTTCTCGTAGTAGAACGGCTCCCGGTACTCGACGGCGGCCCGGATAGAGATGTGCTGTTCCCGAGCCACGGCCATTATGGCGAGCGCGAGACGGGAATAGTCGTGGTTGGGAGCTTTTAAGTACACGACTACTATCTGTGAACATTTCTACTTGTTACATATACTTTTATGTTTTGTAGGTACGGAAAATATATTTTCAAAACATTTGCTAAAAAAATGCATTTACTGATGTTCATGTTCATTAATGCTCTTTACGAAAGATTAATAATAATCCTATTGATTGCTTGTCTTAACCAATCAATTTTGAATTTTAAATTGAAGGCAGGCATATATAGATGTTTGCTTGTGTGGTCTTTGCTTTGATCCTCTGCAAAACACCGCAAGGTTAAAACTAAAGTGTGAAGCTATCTTAGTTTTGTAAAGCATTTATAGCTAGCGGCAAACTTCTTGAGCAAAACTACAGACAAATAACCTTGCGCAGTAGACGTTTTGTATGTAAAATTGCTACTGCGCATGCTTTCTTGTCTACAGTCGATGCTGAAGAAGTTTGCCGGGGTGTATTAATGCCCCCACTGCTGGGGCACAGGCCTTTCCTATGAAATAGGGAGATAGGGCCGTAAACGAGAACAACCACGCGGGCCCAGTGCGGATCAGTATCTACTAATCCGCATCGGTCGTTAGCACCTGCTAACGACTGCAGATCCAACCAGGACCAACGGTTTAACGTGCCTTCTAAAGCACAGAGGAGTTCGAGATAATATGTTTTGCCCACTCATCCAAGGACGTCGGTCCATTTGAAAACTTAACTTCAACAATCGCCGGCCAAATGCGCTAACCACCTGCGCCATCGAGCTTCTCATAGGTAGGTAGCCGGGGTGTATATCTATATATTATTTACATGCATAAAGTTGAAGTGCTTGAGCACGGCGAGCACGGAGCGCGAGATGTCGATGTCGGAGGGGCGTGTGCGCGCGAAAGTTGCGTACACGCGCTTATTTGAACTCGCCACGTCACGGCAATACTGCGGACAGAACACAGTTCTTTAAAAAGACGTTTAAAATATAAAATAATAATAATTTATGATTTTTTTTAAGCATTTAACTGCTAGATGTTTAAATGTAAAGAAAAGTTTACTAGAAAAAAATCCCGTCCGCTGCCTGGTCCGCGTGGATTTTTTTCTAGTAAACTTTTCTTTACATTTAATAATAATTTGTTTCAAAACCACATCATCATCTCAACTGTCAAAGGTACTTCTTTGACAGTTGAGATTGATACACATTCTACCTATATATAAATTTCAATGTTTATTTTTCTGTTTTTCGAGTCTGATTTTTTTTTTCATTTGAAAAGGGATGATATTGACTAATACTCTAATTTAAAGGTTCATCTTAAAGAAAAGCTCCTAGAAGTGTGTAATAAATCGCATAAAATTCGGCTTATGCAGCATCATATTGCGAAGTCATTTCGTTAAAAGAAATGTTGTGTGTTTAAATTAATATAGCGAAAACTACTGCATCTTCTAGACGGATCCCAGTTCCAGACTAATTTATATTATTGAAATGATAATAAGGGATTAGAGATGCTAGCATTCGTAGATGTTTTATGAGTCGAGCATTTAATGAAAAAGTCAAACATATAGATAAACATATATATCTGTTGTTGTAGACACAACTCTTTATTGACATTGAAATACATAAATTATGATAATGTATATATTATAGTGAACTGTTGCTTTGATAAATTAGTTAAAGTTTTAGACGCTAAAAGGATTATTTACAATATAGTTGTCGCATTAGAGCAGTATCAGTTTAAAGGTGCCTTTTTAGACAAGGTAGTGCCTTCATTCAGGTTACTAATAAATTCATATAATATAAATTCATATAATGTATATACATGTTGGTATGTAGATTATTTACTTTTCGGTATAATGTTATGTACTTATACCTACTATGTATATAATAAATACATAATGTATCTTGCAATGTTAAATAAGGTTAATGGTGAAATTTCTTTTGCTTTCTTAGTCCACAGGGACGGAAGTATTTAATCTTTAAGAAAAACATTACCAATACCATTCAAGGAATCGATAAGAAACTGTTGAATAATGAATACTTACATAGCTGACCATAGGAAGGTTGAAGGCAGCGGCCATGCGTCCCTCGTGCACGCAAGTCTCTTGTGGCCCGATGAATGCTGACACGTTTGTTGCCCACAATGCCGCCACCTGCCCAAATTTACATTAAGAACAGATGGGACAAATGCGAGTTGAACTCACTCACTGAGACCTTCGTACAAATTTGGAGGCCTACGCAACATAACCGGCCGTATATTTTTTTACGTTACCTTATAAGTTCATTTTTTTTTACAGTTTTAAGAGACCGTAGGCCTGAGTATATGGAATAAATTTCAACTCGATAGCTCCACGCGTTTCCGAGATAAATGGTCTAAACAGACGGACAGACAGACGAACTACAAAGTGATCCTATTGGGTTCCGTTTTTTCCTTTTGAGGTACGGAGCCCTAATAATTGAAGAAGTAATTGAAATCGTGAGTCCGTTTCGTTAGAGAAAATAATCAGAACCAGAAATTATTTAGGTATTCAACAAGAATTGTATTAATTTACATAACGACCTGTGCACTAGTAGCATAGAGTGAACCTAATTCAACATTACGTTTGCCTGCCATAATATAGTCCTCAAAAGGATCCATTCTTAGCTCCATTCAACTTTGCTCAATTTTGTACCTCAAGCATTATCATGCACTTACGAGTATGCGTAGAAAAATACACAGAATTCATAAAAAATATAAATGGAATTTATACCACTTGTACCACGAAAAATTGTTGTTTAAACACAGCATCGGCGTAAGAGGGGTAGGGTTACTAGATGATAAAATCAAAAGTCCGGAGAAAAGACTTGATTTCCATTGAAAAATCCTGAGATTTTTTACAGTTTGAGAATTTTCTCTCAAACGTACTTAACAATTTAAAAAAGTCGTAATACTATTTTTTACATTCTGCTTATACTTTTAAATCAATATAATTTGAAGAGCTTAACATGTGGGGTGGAAAAACCCTTACTTAAAAATGTATCTTCAAATATAGCCCATAGCCTTCCTCGATAAATGGACTACCCAATACTGAAAGAATCATTCAAATCGGACCAGTAGTTCCAGAGATTAGCGCGTTCAAACAAACAAACAAACTCTGCAGCTTTATAATATTAGTATAGATTGGAAAATTAAAATTTTGCTAACTGTAACGTGTTATATGTATATCAAATAAAAGGGTTCAAAAAAAAGGTTAATTTAAAAAATCAAAAAACCCGACTGCTTAATTATACTTCAAATAAAAACTGAAAAGAAAAAAACAAGTCCAGTAGTCTATAATTCTGTTAATAAGGAACAAAGCTACTTTAACAGTCGGGACCCACTGTTGAAAAATATTATGTATTCTTGAATATCTAATATATTTTTTTTTCAAAATTAGGGATCCATAATAAAATTGCTATTTTGTAACACAAGGTGTAAAATCGAAAACCTATTTTTGCGTGCGCTGCAAAAACTATTGACAATAGAACAAAATATATATTGTATATATTTAGGTATTTATCGTATATATAAATATGTATGTATATATATATATGTAGGTATATTTATAGATGTTATGTATTATAATTTTTATATTAAGTATCATGTAGTTTTGTCAATCTATTTTTTTTTCTTTTCCTATCACCTTTTGCTTTTATTTACTTTACCGCATACTGTATCTGCTTAGCCCGATGGTTGACTGGTAGAGAATGCCATGTGGCATTCAGTCCGCCATTTGTTCTAAATGACAATAAAGAGTAAATAAATAAATAAAAATAAAATAAATAAACAAAATGATGTAGTACGGGTTTGTAGATCCCATTAAGACCTACAAAAAAGTCCGCGAGAACATATATCTAGCTCTCATGGTTTAATCACAATAACCGATTTTGTGTTCAAAATAATTATTAAATCGTCTAAAGAACAAAAAAACTACGTTAAATATGTATCGTTATATTAATCTTTATTAAAATGAAGCATTATGTTATCAAGAGTATTTATGTAGAAGTAAAATACTTTTTGTTTCATCTCAATCGGATATTTCGTTTTAAAGTTATCACGTGTGTAAGATGTTAAGAGTTGGTACCTATATATTTTATCTCGGTATTTCCACGGAAATGAGAAAAACGCGGGTGAAACCGCGGGGCACGGCTAGTAGTACATATTTAGAATTTATTTAATTACTTGATTTCTCTATGTTTGAGTATATAACAAATTTTCCCCAGCAAGTGACAGACAGACAGACATGCGAGCGAAGGGTTCCGTTTTCGTCGATTAAGAAACGGGACCCTAAAAATATCAAGAATCAAAGATGTTTACAACAACATCTTACAGTGATTGCCAAAGTACTTATAACAGAATTGGTAGATTTCCCTGATTGAAGAGCCCGGTCAACCCAAACTTCGTACTAATGACAGAAGTGCTCTCCAAGTTTACTACTCATAATATAAATCCTTTGAAGCGGTAAAGTTTAGATAGCTCTCCTATCAAGTCACCCATATCTTGTACGAATATCTCATCTTAATTCCATTTCCACACGTAAACTTAAAAGAGATAAAAATAACATATCATCATCATATCTATATCAATCAAATGTTCTCATAAACTGTGTATCAGAGAAATCATTCAATACTGTATGGCTGAAGATTCTTTTGATCAATTTCTATATAAATAAATTGAGCTCAAGATTTCTGTGCTTTAACAATTTCTAAACGTCCTCGCCCCGACAGTTGTGAGTTAATGTTAGAAACGCAAAGAGTTCCGCACTAAACTGCAGAGCAACAATTTTACGGACGTCTTTTTACGACTGCTGTGATAAATTGCTATAGAGATTTAATAAAATACAAGTCCGTCAAGCGCTTCACGTTCTAAAGAAAAGTTTAAAGACTGTGTGGTATCACGCGGTAAAAAAAAAACTGTCATTTTGAGCAATGCTATTCGCCCGGCTACCGGAAGATGCGGGTTCGAAACCTGGACCGCGTGTAAATTTTTCTAGTACGATTTTCTTTACAATGCAATTAGGTTTCTCGTAAATGGTTCAAGAAAGTACGGTCATTAGTGATTCGTTTTTTTTCTGCTTGAGAAAAAAATAATGCGAATTTTATTCGTAACGCATCATCCAATGGTCATTATTATTCCTATTAAACCCTATGCCTTGGCAGTAAACATTGACCCCGGGTTGTTTCTTGTGTAACTAAGCGGCTCAGCGTCGTGGGGAGGAAATGAACAAACATTATTATCTGCTCGAACTTTCTAACAAACGAAGCAGAAAATTTAACGTTGAAAGCACTTTGTCGTTAACAGCCAGATAAATCAGCAGACTTCTCATTTTTATGCTTACAATATGGAGTCGTGTTGACGGTTTGCTCTCAATATGATTGATGTACGAACTTTTGGAGATGATAAAATACTTATAACATAACATAGAAATCTGTAAGTGTCGATAGAACTCTTACATTAAAGAGAGTGTTACGAAAATACTCCGACACACTTGTGATCAGCTAATGTAAACCTTAAGAGCAATTTTAATTGAGTTTCATGTCATACATTTTAATGGCCTACATAAATCAAAATATGTAGATTTCGCAACACAATCTAAGAGGTTGTTCCCATTTTATATAGGCAGTAATGACAGTCGCCCCTCTCCTTTTTGTTCTTCTGGAGCACTTTATATTTATTTATTTTTCAAGTTTTTGTGTCTATTAAGAAGACAAAAGAAAGAGAACAAAAGAATAGACTAAATTAATATTTTATAACCAGATTCATAATCATATCATGCATTGTGTAATCCTTCATTATCAAAGCCATCCTAATAATTAATTTGAAATTTACCTTTTCAACAAAACACTGCTTCAACAGTCAGCAAAGAGATTTTTTTATCAATTTATGAAATCTCGTAGAAGCTCATTTCCAATTTCCGTTTTAGCGCCGATATCTGCGACAGACAGATACGAATGGGCCCATTTTTTGCATCCGTTCATGAATTTCAGATTTCGGATTCTGCTTTAATGGTGGTAAGTATAACTTTCAACGTATAAAGTAAATCTTGTGTTCGTTACAATTTAGTTTACTATCTAAATGGCAAAAAATATCTAATAGATTTTTTGATATAAAAATCTAGCCGTTTATTAATACTAACCTAGCCATTAATAATGAAATTGTATTTAAAATTAAAATTTATTAAGTTAAATCAATGGAATACCGGTGCTCCGGTCAATTAAGGAAATAGGCTATATTCTGTCACAATTTTAGCCGTACATTATGTCTTCATCTTTAGAGTAATAAGTAATTACTATGGTCTAAATCCACCTTTATTTACCTTTTTTATTTCATACTTTTTAGTTAGTTAGTATTTTAAGACGGTATTTACCGTAGTCTTGTTACTTCAGTAAGGGAATTAATATCGCGGGAATTATTAAGTACCTTGCGGTGGTCTAAAAGATTGATTTATTGCGGTGGTCTAAAAGACTGACATATAGAGACTTTACCAGCGGGGTCAAGGCTGCAGATGGGCCTCAATTTTCGCAAAAATGTGTGAAGTTAAATCAAGTCGTTACGGGTAGTTCTACAAAGTAAGGAATTTTCGACGGCTCAGCTAAAATGTCATGAAAAAATTGTTACAACCAAGTTTATTTTCATAATATATTGTTTACCATACCTATATCTACCTAGTCTCTAAAAATAATTTAGATACTAATATATTATCTTAGGAAAATAAATACTCAAAGCGTCAAATTCCCAGGATCCTGGAGTGTCCCACGAGCAATATTGAATCTAATGTGCAATATTATTTATTTTCTACTACATTGAGCCCATAAGTTTAACCAATATTAATGATATCCTATTATTATTGTTACCTAGGTGACATATTATTAATTTATTGTAACAAAAACATTATAAAAACTTTGTCCAGAAGTTGTCCCAACAGTTTCATATCAGGATCCTGCCCAATGTTAAATAAGCGAATATTCAATATTCTATTAGCCGCGCGACTTCGACGTTTAGCCGAGTTTGTTGCCGGTACGAAAGAGACAAAGAATATCACCTATTGTTTTGCACCCAGTGTGTTGCTTAGTCTGCCCGGCACATTTGATGGACGAAGTCGCGTCATAATCAGTCGAGCTCACAGGATCCTGG